AGGAATTTTCCTCCAGGGCAGATTGGCAGAGACCCTGTTTTTTTGTTTTTTTTGCCTTCCTCTGCAGCATGGGGCACGGGTCACTTGCTGGAAGATTCTCTGCACCTTGAAGTCTTTCAACCATGATTTGAGGACTTCAATAGCTCAGACATAGGTTAGGGATTTATTACAGGAGTGGGTGGGTGAGATTCTGTGGCCTGCTTTGTGCAGGAGGTCAGACTAGACGATCATAATGGTCCCATCTGACTTTAAAGTCTATGAATCTATACTTATGTTCCTAAATAAAAGTGGCCTGATATGCAGAGGTATTGAGTAGATCAGGTCAGGAAATGGGAAGTTTTCCCTTACAAAATTGTGACCCAACTGGCAAGGGAGTTACAAGAATAACCTTATCCTGGTATGTACATTCTGGTTCACCAAAGAATGTCACATGAGGTTTTACATAAAAGCTAGGGTCACAACTCTTTACACAATCAACAATAGTAATGTTATCTGAAGTCTGTATCAAAACAGACTTGGCAAACAGGCTTTTTGCCAGACAAAAACCCGTCTGTGACCTGGCCATGGGTCGGGGAGAGGAGATGCAGGGTGGAGCTGCCCCCGGGACTGCCGTGATCTTGCACTGCAGTTGGGAGGTGAGGGGGGGAGGGGTAATGCCCTCCAGGTCCCCAACTCTGCCCCTGGGCTCAGGGCTTCTGCCCCACAGGGAGTACCAGGGGCTCACCTATTGTTAACCTGCAAGGCACAGTAAGGGCCTCTTAACAAGAATGTATCTGACACAGAATTGCAGAAATGCTCTAATACATGTCTTCATATAGTCCCAGAGCAAAATATGGAAAAGAAACATAACCACAAACTCCTACATAGTCCCCTTCCCAAACACTCGCAAAAAAAAAATTCAACAGCCTTGCTCCCAAAGTAAACATATAAAATGAAAGCTATTCAGGTGAAGAGAAGATGGCATTAGAAAGAATAGGTTTAAAAGTGGACCAAATTGTGGTCTAGGCCAGGGGTTCTCAAACTTTTTCTCTCTGAGGCCCCCCTCGACATGCTATAAAAACTCCAGGGCCCAGTGGGGGCGGAGGGGCCTTGGGGCAGTGGCCTTTGGCATAGGCATTGTTTGACTTCTATTTTGGTGGGGGAAGGGGCCAGTGGGGCTCAAGCCATCTCCGCATGGCAGGGTCCAGGGAGGGAGTGCCACCTCCACCCCATGACTCACCCTAGCAGGCCACCCAGCCGGTCTCGGTGGGGTGGGGGCGGAGGCGTGCAACCAAAAATTATAACTCAGAGGTGGGGAGCTTAGCTCAAAAAGTTTAAAAATAGCTAATGGTGCAGGGGGGTAGCTGGGGCCGTGTGCAGGCAGGGGAGTAGCTCAGGGTGCAGGGAGAGGGGTACCTGGGGCTGTGTGTGGGCAGGGAGGTAGCTCGGGGTACAGGGAGGGGGGTGGTTAGGGACTGTGTGTTGGCAGGGGGGTAGCTCAGCGTGTACAGAGAGGGAGTACTAGGGGCTGTGTGCGGGCAGGGGGGTAGCTCAGGGTACAGGGAGAAGGTATTAGGGGGCTGTGTGCTGGGAGAACTCCCCTGTGATCCCTGTTCCCCTGCCAGCCATGGAGCCGGGTCTCCCCACCCAGGGGGCTCTCACCGGCTGCCTTTGCAGGAGCAAAGGGGCTGGGAGCTGAGGAGCAGCTTCAACCTGGGGCACCAGCAGGAGATGAGGGAACGCTGCTGCTGTTAACTGCTACATGGCACCAGCCACCTTCCACCTGTGACCTGGACATGGGTTGGGGAGAGGAGATGCAGGGTGGAGCTGCCCCGGGACTGCCGTGATCTTGCACTGCAGTTGGAGGGTGGGGGGGGGGTAATGCCCTCCAGGTCCCCAACTCTGCCCATGGGCTCAGGGCTTCTGCCCCACAGGGAGTACCAGGGCCAATTTCCTTCCCTGCAAGGTTCTTGGGGTGGCTCAGCATGTCTTGCTCCTTATATAGGGTTAGTAGTAAAATCTTAGTCTAACCCTATATGTGGGCCCCATCTTGAAATCTTTACTTGGAGACAGGTTCCACCACCTTTATTCATGTTAAATAGTATGTTACTTGGCATTGGCAACTAGTCAAGTAGTATTACTATTGGAATAAAGTTTGTAGAACTGGCCCTTTAATTTTACTCCATCCTTACTCAGGCACAACTCTCACTGACTTCAGTGAGAGTTTTGTCTAAATAAGGACTGAGTAAATACTGAATAAGGACCTACAAATTTGGCTCTGTATTCATAAGTGACCCATAGTTTTGCATTTAATCAATTCTGCTTTAGCTGTAGCTCAAGATCATTTTATAAAGTACAATTCGCCTTAAGAAATAGACACAAGAGCAAGTGACACAAGAGAAGGTTAAATTCAGAAAAAAACATTTATTGGAAGACATTAAGGGGCTTACCTTTCATCACACTTTACTGCAATTACATTATCTGTCCCAATTCCAAGGACCGCTGCAGCTTTCTTTATTGAATAATGGCTCTTAAAATATATATATAAAAAAGTTTATAAGGGAGTTTTGTTAGATACATTGGTGTATACAAAGTACATACCATATATGGATGGCACCATTATTTTTTCTGCCGTAGAGAAATATTAAATACGTTATGGTTTAGGTGTTGTGATGACACATAAGAGTATAATAACGGGCATGTTGAAATTTACCAAGAGTCCATCAAATCCTGCCTAACAGTGGTCAAAACCAGATGTTTCAAAAAGAGGCTTACCCCTCCCATAATGCTCCTAATTGTGCAATATTGTGCTTAGCTGTATAAGGAGTTTACTTCCTGATCCCATGTGGAGATAATTATTTGCCCTGATGACAGATAGTCTGTACATTTTAAAATCCTAGCTAGTGTCATTAGACTGAGCAACTATTCTCGGTAAGACAAAGAAAGCAAAAAAGCTTTAGGAATGTGTACAATATGCTTGAGATTATTTATTAGATTTATGGCAATTATGTTAATCATTAGGAAATTCATGTGCTTATATGATCATTGATTATTTAAGGGCAGGTCTACACTACCCACCTGAATCGGCGGGTAGAAATCGATCTCTCGGGGATCGAATTATCGCGTCTCGTTGGGACGCGACAATCGATCCCTGAATCGATGCTTCTACTCCACCAGCGGAGGTAGGAGTAAGCGCCGTCGACGGGGGAGCCGCAGAGGTCGATTTGCCGCCGTCCTCAAAGCGGGGTAAGTCGGCTCCGATACATCGAATTCAGCTACGCTATTCGCGTAGCTGAATTTGCGTATCTTAAATCGACCCCCCCCATAGTGAGGATGTAGCCTAAGTTACGGGTTGCATGGTAAATATATTTAATTACAGGGTAAATAGTGGGTTATTTTTGCACTATTTTGCATCCTGACCTCAAGTTTACTATTAAAAAGGAACCACAAATCTGCATCAACATACAACTACAATGATAAATAGGATTTGGAATTTCACATGTCCCATTTTTTGCATAATATTTCTGCATTATTAAATAAAGGTTTAAAAATAATCTAGATTGTCCTCTGTTAACATCCATCTAAGAGATTATTTTTATGAAAAAAATAAATTAGATTTTAAAAAACACTGAAAGCTCTACTGATTTCACTCTGTACATCCACAGCAGCAGAGTGAACAACTTTTGCAACTGTGGAACATTCCACCGTGAAATAACACAAAGCCACACCTGAGTAACCAACATCAATATTCTGCTTTTACATTATGCCTCAGTTTCATAAGCAATGGTGTAAATATAAATATAGTTGAATTTCATACTGTGCATGTACAATGACAACATTCAAACTCTTATTTTTAAATTGTATATATGCACATTTGTCTGCAGACTAATCAGGGAAGAGTAAGCACCTGAGGCCTGATCCATTGAGGTCCATGGAAACACTTCCATTGACATCAATCATCAGACCCCTAGAAAGTTTCACTTGGAAAAGTGCCACTGTTTTTGAGTTATACAGGGGGGAGCGGGGGAATTCCAAGGGCCAGATTGTGACTTGTACAATGCACTTGCATAAGGGAGTAGGAAGGAGTGAATTTCTTCCAGATATCACCTGGGTGTGAAATCTGAACCTTGTGTATGCACATAGCAGTGAATGGGTGTTGTTTGTCCAGTTACTTGCCCATCCTCACACCAAAAGCAGTGGGTTGGAATAGGTAAGGCCGTGGCTCCATCACACCAAAGTGCCAGTGCAGGGAGTGTGATAACTTACTGCTGGTGCAGGTCAGCAGGAAATTACTATCCCTTCCTCTAAAGCTAGAGGAAAACAGGGGAGGAACTGTGACTCAGAGATACATTTCTGAGTCACAATGGCTATGTCCACACTGCAATTAGATGCCCCCAGCTGGCCTATACCAAATGACTAGGGCTTGAAGGGCTGTTTAATTGCAGTGTAGATATTTGGGCTCAGGCTGCAGCTCGAACTCTGGGACCCTCCCACTACACATGAGCCAGCTGGGGGGGTTAATTGCTGTGTAGACATACCCAGTGATTTCCAGGGCTAGTCCTGGTGCAGCTTACACCGCACCACTTACGCAGGGCTGTGCCTAAAGTCATAAGAGGGGATTTTCAAAAGAGCCTGTGTGACTTAGAACATAAAAACAAGCACTAGTTACTTGCAATGGGACAGGTGCTCCTAAATCATGTAGGCAGTTTTGAAAATCTCACTCAAACTTTCTCCAGAAGTATTTCATTTCATTTTCAGCTAATTTATTTCCATAGTCTGAATATTTAAATACTAATTTTCAAGATTCAGTACCGAATCTAGCAGAGACAAGCTATTGACTATAATTCTGTACTTACATGTTCAGAAACAAACAGTGAAATGTGTGGAAGTGCTGCCATGCCTTTGGTTTTAATCTCAGGAAACCGCTTATAACGAGCTACTAGAACACTGTAGAGGTTTGAGATGGTCCCACCTAACAGCATGGAAGGGAAACAAATATTTCTATTTTGGTTTGAATAGCTTATTCCTACTGGGAATTTAAATTTTACATCACTGCATCATAGGGCCAGATTCTCAACTGGTATAAATTAGCATACCTCCATTGGCTTAATTTTGATTCCCTAATGCAACAATTTGCAATTCACCAGCTGACTGCCCATTTTGACTGCAGGATATGTGTATAGAATACCAGTCAAATCTTGGCCACAGAATTTTCTCCCCACCATTTAATCCCTTGTGCACTTCTCCAGGCTTCCACTGATTTGATAAGATTTGCCATTGGGAGTCCCAGCTTGTTGGAACTCTTAAGGTTCATGCTTGTCAGGCAAATTTGATTGCAAGTCTCCTTTTCTTTTCCCCAACCCACCATGTCCCAGTCCCTAATAGAAACAGAGGGAATTAAGGAGCTTGATTCAGAATTATCAGATTCTGATTTCTGAGAGGTTCATTTCTTTCTCTATTCTTATTGTATCATTACACCAGAAGGTACTTTCTGATAATTAGCTTGATGTAAAATTGAATTCTGAGAAGCTTTGTGGATTTTTATTCTGAGAAAGTTTTCATTGCAGTAATCTTCTTCTTCTTTATCCTGTCATTTTTTTATTTACATGATTGCTATTAACAATATTTTGAAATTATAAATAATGTTTTAAATAATTTAACCATATTATTGAAAACTGCAAAAAAGTTCAATTCAAGTTTGCTTTTAGATTAAAGGGAAGGTTCAAGTTGCTGCCTATTTTATTTAAGCTACTTTGCTGATCCCTAAAACAAACCTAGTGCAGTTTTCATACAGAGCCTGATCCAAAAGTGAGTGAACTTAATGGAAAGACTCTCACTGATTTGCTTGGGCTTCAGATCAGGCCCATAGCAAGGGTAATTTCCTGTCTACTTACCAGGAGAAAATATACCATCTGCTTCTATTTCTCCCCATCCAACCATTTCATGCATTTTCTTGAGAAGGATCTCCTCCATGACAACGAACACTGGAGCTATTTCATATGTAAACCTAAAATATGTTTTTAAAAAATAACAACAGGCTGTTTTCTTAAATGTATTTCTATTACACAAAATAGGCACAAAAGGAATTGAGACAACTTGATTTAGTAGTGATATAAGGGGTGAGATTAGACTAGTGGCCTCCTTTCCTTTTTTCTTCCCCATTACCTTCTTCTTTCTCATCCCACATAATATCCATTATCTGACTATACATTTCGAATGCGAAAATGTTCAGAGAGGATATGTTTTATCTACCCTGAGATTGTATTTAAAAAGTATAAACATTAGCCAGTTCTCCTCAAGTCTCTCATTAAAAAAAATGTTATTTGGCAAGTTACTATGGTGTGAAACTGAAATACCTATCATTTTACAGACCCATCTTTTCTACATTTGCCTTAAATCAGTGGGGAATGCCATATTTAAAGTTCTTCCCAAATTCTAGAAAGCAATATGCTGTGGGTGTTACTAAACACTCAGCATGTGCCATTCTGCAGCAATTGTGTTTTCCTGCTAAGCACAGAAGGATACTGTGATTACTGTAGATACCTGAGGTGGCAAAAGTAGACTCCTTAATTGTGCCCACTGAATCTAGAAATGGTGTTCTAGATTCTGTCTCACTTACATCTGTGTAACTGTTGACTTCACTGGATTTATTTGTTGTTTGCACTGGGATGGCCCTAAAAATCACAGCTCAGCTGATTAAAATAGTCCAACATTTCAGGGTCATTCCTCAAGTGAATTTTGCTTGAAACTATAACATGAGACAATGTTACACTGTCTGTTTATTACTACAGCATCTCTCAGGTGTGCTTTCTAATATGATGTCCTGGGCACCAAGTGAGGCAAAGCATTTAGAAGATTCCCAAAGAACCATGTATAGATGTAGAGCCACATCATGGCCCTATTAGATACTGGGGAGCTGCTGAGGTGGAGAGCTAAAGGAAGGTATTTGTAGATGGAGTTGGAGAAGGCTCTCAAACCAAAGTGACCAGATTGTGTGCAGACAGACAAGAAGCCAGTGTTATAAGAGCAGACAAAGAACTAGAGAGAGACATAAAGTCCGCTTATTACACACACGCTTTCACCCTAATTCAAATATCTACATGACTCCAAACCAATTTAAAAAGTCCATTCCCAAAACTTCCTAGTCACTCATGTGAGCATTTATATGGACTCTTAAAAATACAAAGGAAAGGAGGAAGAGCTAGCATTCACTAAATTTAGGAGTGACGCAGTGATTTTTATCTGGAAAAATGGAATTACCTACCAAGCTAAAAAAACCCCAAACACTGTACTGTTTCCTGACTGACATATTAGTCATTCGCTTTGTGTGGCTAATACTGCTCTGTAATACAAGGGAAAGATATGAATGTTTACTAGGCAGTTAGTGAATGAAGGTAACTATCAGAGCATGACATTATGACTGTATCATAGCAAATAAAAATTGAAGGTGTAGCTATTTTCTATTCTCCCTTTGACTGAAACTACTTATAATTGTACTGCTCTCCAGCACATATTTTTATGTTCTATTCTTTCTTAGAATTGTATTTAGTTAAAAAATATGGTTATAGCTAATCTGGTGGTGTAGCTACACTATTCACTATAGACCTATTAGACCTCCAGCTAAAACAGAAACAATTTTGATTGAGCCAAAAAACTATACCAAGACAGCTCTTAAATTTAGTTCAAAATGTCCAGGTGAAAGACTATAATCTGCAGCAACCAGCCAGGATAATTTTACCAAACTACTCACAGCTGTCTATGCAGTTTCCACTCAAGCATCTCCATAAAGACCCCAGCTTTGTTGTAATAGAAAACAATAGCAGGAATTTACTTTGGTTGAAAGAATTCTGGGGCTTACATTTTCCAAAAAAAAAAACCCTAAACCTGCAGCCAGAGTTCTACATGCCTATTTTTAACATGTGCAATGGTCCGTGCATGAACAAGTTTGACTGAAGTACAAAAATGTAGGCTAATGAATGTAAACTGTATTTGCATGCCAGACTGTCAAAGTGACAAGCCAGTTAATAATACATTAGTGCTTGACTAGGCCCTGATCCAGCAAAACACTTAAGCACATATTTAACCACATAACTAGTACCCTTCTGGTTGGGCTACTCACATAGGTAACGTTAAGGAAAGGTAAGTGTTTTTGTCCATAGTGTTTTTCCTAGGTAGATCTGAAAGTACTTTCCAAAGATGGGTAAGCATTATCATCCCCATTTTTTAGACTATCAAATACATAAATTCTACTGTATGTGAATTAATATATCTCTAAGCTGAAAAAGGTTAAGATGTTATGGTACACTGACATTCTGCACACTTTCTCCAGCTAATCTTTCCTATGGGGTTATACAATGCATGTTTTTCTGAAATGTCTCCAAAGAGATGTGTTCCAATGTTCTTGTGGATAGTAAAAATCTGCTAAGACATTTGAATTGGGAAATAGGGACAGAAATACAGTATGGCTGAAAGCTGTTTAGGTGCAGCATTGCTCATCTCTGTGGACACTAGTCTCTGTTCCAGTGTCTTTAATAATGTTGTCCTTTTAGAAAAGAAAAGTTTGATTATTTTTCCCCATTACATTATAAACTGCACTGAGCGGCATCCCTTAGAATGTATGAATGGAAATTATGGATGTAAGATACTTGGTTTTAGGCACATGGAAGGTACATTGGCTAACTCCATCACCTCCATTCTTCCTTTCTATCCTCCCTACAGTCAGTCTCTATGAGGTGCTCCCCCCTTTGGCTTTGTGATGTCTTTTCAGTAAATACATGCATTTTATGGCTTAAACCTAGTACTTTTCAACTTCTCCTGCCTACCAAGACCACACAGTCTACTCCACATATTCTCCACAGATAAAGCATCTTCAATAATCCCCTCAAGGCTTCTGCTTCCACCTCCCATTCTCAAAAATGAGCTGAACAAAACTTTTTTTGTCAAAACTTTTTTTTTAACATGAAAAATGATTATTCAAAATAAATTAATTTTCATTTTGGTCCAAATTTTTGTAAAAAGAAATAGAAACTGATTTTTTTTATATGCTGAAAACTGGTGTTGTTTTTTTAAACCAAAATAGTTTTTTAACAGATTTTTATTTGGGGGAAATGATTTTTTGTTGAAAAAAAACTAAACTTCCTCCATCCACAGAAAATTTGTGGGCCAGGGGATAGAATTTTTCAAAATTAATTGTGGAAAATACATATATATTTCAGTCAACTCCACTAGATCCTTTATCCCTTCCAGGAAGCATCCAGTTCTTGAATTCACTTTCTTAGCCAAGTCTCTCACTCTCTCTTTCTCTCTCTGCCTTTCCTTATCTCAAACACCCGCCCTTAATCATTTACACTCCTTGCGGAGTAATATACAAAATTCTTACTAGGATTATTAAATGCTATCAACAAAATTAAAACAAATTAGAGTTTTAAAAGTTCAGTATAATTGTTACAAAGTCTTATTTTACTGGAAAACATGTGGCCAAATCTCCAAGATGAAAGTCTTGAAAGTATATGGATCAAATGTTCCAAAAATCGCTTCTTAGTTTGCAGCTGCAACTTGATGCACTAAGTTTTGTCCATGCAGTTTTTCCACTCCCAACATTTAGCATGCTCAATCCTTGTATTTGCATTTATAAATCAGGGAGTTGAGCATCTAATTACCCATGATGCATGTGCCAATTTAAGGTTTTGTGTTCACTAAGATGTCTTGGATGTATCAAAAGTATTTGAGGGTGCAGAATTGCACATGCCAATCCTGAAGTCTGGTTTGAGGTTCCTTTGAAAATATGGCAGCATGTGCCAAAATGTTCATTTTGGCCATTCAGTCCTACAAGTTTCACAAAAAAAGGAAGATTTTGCTGTGTTATGGTTATACTGAACATTTTGCATATACTTAATTTCTTTGTGTTTTATTTCAGAAATTCTTCTAGTGAGAATCTGAGAGCTCTGAAATTTTGTTATATGTTATGTTTAATTATAATAGAATCAATCAGCTTTAAGTTGCGGTTGGGATTTCCTGGGAACCCCTCTGGTAGAGGCTGTGGCAGAGAATCAGTTCATCCTTTGGTTGACCTAGCCATGTTCTCTCCTCAGCAGTCATTTTGGGGCTATATCGGTCAGCTATGAGCTCCCTAGTGGAGCAGGGGATGTGTGCAGTCTGTCTCCTACAGTCCCTCTCTGGGAATTTTCCAACATCAGGGGCCTTACACCCTTGGTCACATGGATGTAACTTGGGACTGAATCTAGTCCTGTAACATAAACAGGGATGTTAGTGATTTTGAGTTCCCATTGTTTGGTACTGATGTGTCTTTCAAGTGAACCCTGTTATTCCCTCTACTCAGTACATCTGTGTATGTTTTGCCCCAAAATAAACCTGGATCATTATTAGCTGCTCTTAAGTTAAATTAATTGGCTCATAGTTTTAAGACTGCTGTCCGGAGTATGTTCTACTTGAAAACAACCAGTGAGTTTACATCCAGTGCAGGCTCCTGTACAGCCATTGTCACTGTGCTGTACATCATGGTTTATCTACCTCGGTTGTCTGTAGTGCACAGATTCCTGCTACCTAGCCAACACTATTTATGCAAGCATTCACGCATTTGTTTAAAAAATGGGAAGTCTGTGCTTGCTTGTTTTCAGATAGGTACTTTGTATTCTAGAAAAGTAGTAAAAAGTGGCTGGCTTTTGTTAGTATTTAACTTGTAACCAAAGACTGGGATTTACAGTACATACATGTTTGTATTTGCAGTAGCTGACAGCCATTCACCAGCTAGTCCAACAATGTCAAGGCCACTGGAGAGTTGGTTGAAGTAGCGAGGATGTCCTAAAATGAAATAAAAATAAACCAGAATCTGTGTAAGAGATAGAAATACATTGTTCTTCAGCTCAGTCCCCAGTTAACTTGTGTTGATAAGGACAGTGAAATCAGTATGGAGAATAAGAAAGTGTGTCTCTTTATGCTAATGTTGGGGAAAGAAGCCTTCCTTAAAAATGGGTATGAAGTAAAACCTAGGACATTCAAGTCTTTATTGAGCAAATTAATTAAACTACATTTTCCAATTAAGTAGCTTACTTTCTACTAACACCAGAATTCAAATCATTCAAGACAACTGGTTCCTTATATTGGAATGTGGGTAACATTTTCAAAAGCATTTAGATCAATAAGATGTATGTGCTTTAGAGCATTTTTCCATTTGAGATCAAAACCCTTTTACTATTCTGAACCAACTGTCTCTAAATCTAAGGATATTTTTGAACCCAATGTGCTATCCCTTAAACCTTTGTACATGCCAAGTCAATTCACATCTAAAAAGGCGTTAAAAATAAATATACACAGTTGAAAAAATTGTCTAAATATTTTAGAAACCTCCCTAGTGTCATGCACTGCAAAGGGGAAAGAGAACAGAAAAACAAACAAAAATACTCAGCCCTATCTAAAATGTTGTCAGTTCCTGTACATAATTCTCTTTAATGAATAATTACATTAAATTATTTAAATAAAGAATTACATTAGTGAATAATTCATGAAAGTGTTAACTGGTTCTCTTGAGGAAGTGAATTCTCACCCCTTATTTCTTACTGTATCAAAACAAGTTGAGAGCAGAACAATACGCACACCCCACTGGAAATACAGGATAAGGAAAAAAATATTTAACGAGTTATATGAATCTGGCAAAACGAAGAGTCCTGGACAAATTGATTCCAGTATGGAGAAATGTCAGATCCCTAAACAATGATATATATGCCTGTGAAGATATGAGACAGATACATTTTTGCTGTGGGGGACACTATGTTACCTGTTTTAACTCCATATTTTAAGGTATCCCTACAGTCAACAAGTATCTGTTCCAAAGGCTCTGGCTGATCACGCAGCTCCAAACTGAACCCTTCCAAGCCTTCCAGAAGCTGATGGGGGTGATGAAAGTCCAGAACTTTGCTCTTCCCATCATAGGTTTTTTTAATATAATTCAGGAGAATTTCTACCACTTCAAGCAGGAACTGGTCTGTGAATTCCTCACCATTCCTAGTAGGCAACAAGTCTAGAAAGAAATCAAGGGAACATCAGTGTAATGTTAACAAGTACTCAGGAGTCAGGTTGGTTGGAGACAAGACACACTGCTTTTATTGACTTCACAAATGCTCTGTTCAGTCTCACCCTGCACTAGGCTTCTGGGAATATCCAGTTTCCACTGAACATGCTCAGAAGTTTACTCTAGTTGCTTCCATCGTTGTAACACGTTGTGGTGTTCAGTGAGCACTCAGACCCAGATCCAAGGTATTTAAGAGCCTTATTGCCAATGGAAGTCTTAACTGTTCATTTTAAGGAAGTGAATCCTCACCGCACTGGAAAATCAGTGGGAGTTAAGCTCCTAAATTCCTTTGAAGATGTGGGCTTAAGTGCATAAGGTGCTTGGAAAAGATCTGCTTTATTCGGTTACCAGTTCCAACCAACTGTGCATAACAACAACAACATGAACTTCTGCAGCGTCCCACCCAGACTCTTTTTCTAGGAAGCTCAGCCCTTAAAGGCACAGTCCCCATTATCATATTACTTATTACTACTATTATCATGTAAGGGCTTAGCACGTTAACCCTCTTGTAGCATTCACAATATGTTGCACTTCTGTAGCACCTTTCACGTGCGGAGCTCAGAACATAGATGCAGACAGTGGGGAAACAGGCATTTTGCTCAGTGACCCAACTCTCTAACAGGGTGTTGAAGGGCCAATTCAGACTGGAAGAGGCTAGAAGGGCAGGGATAATTTCCTACTGGTACAGAAAGGAGATTTACTATGCTACTGTTTCCAGTTTGATTCTCAGAACCTGAAGACCACAGCTCCCTCTCAGTCTACTAGTGACAATGCAATTGATAGGATCAAAATTTCACTCATCCTCTTCCCACTAGAAAGGAGGGGCAAGATCGTCCATAAATCCTTGGGTCTCTGCCTCACCACCATGATGAAAATACCCTTTGAATCCATTCACTTGTACTCAGTGGCCTGCGAAGTAGGAAGAGAGAAACTCCTAGGTCTTCAGTGAACATGAGCAAAAATCCTAATGGCTTAGCTACCCCTCCTCTGGTCTATAGGTACAGGCTACAGGAACCCTTGGTTCCTCCTCAGGGTGCATGTGTGTGTGGTATGGTTGCCAGGCATCTAGTTTTCAACCGGAACACCCGGTCGAAAAGTGACCCTGGCGGCTCCGGTCAGCACCACCAATCGGGCTATTAAAAGTCCAGTCAGCAGTGTTGCGAGTCTAAAGGAGGCTAGTCCCTACCTGTCCTGGCATCACGCGCTGCCCCCGGCCTGAGCACTGGCTCTGTACTCCCATTGGCCGGCAACCACGGCCACTGGGAGCTGAGGGGGCGGTGCCTGTGGGCGAGAACAGTGCGCAGAGTGTCCTGGCCCCCCTGCCTAGGAGCCAGACCTGCTGGCCACTTCCAGGGCCCAGCACAGAGTCAGGATAGGCAGGGAGCCTGCCTTAGCCCTGCTGTGCCATTGACCGGGAGCCGCCCGAGGTAAACTCATGCCCCAACACAGAGCCCCAACCCGCTGCCCCAGCCCTGAGCCCCCCCAAACTCAGAGCCCCCTCCTGCACCCCAAACCCCTCATCCCCAGCCCCACCCCAGAGCCTG